GGAGGTTTAACTATTAGGGTACTGCTAATCCCCACCAATTTAGATCTAAAATTATAATATGATTTGAAAGCTTACATAATTGATGAATAGCTACTGGCCACAACTTGCGCTTAAATTATGGTACAGCCACAGGTCACAATATCGAGGGTTCAAATTAATGATGTATATTTAATGTGCACACATTTTGATAATTACAGAGTGCAGTATAACCCATATATCAAGAGTTCTATGGCTTACATACAAACAATTTGTGATTGATTTTAGTTTATGTATGAATGTCTAATGTAAATGAAAAACATTTTCGTTATTGTTTTTAAAATCGTCCAAACAATATCATAATTTATATCTTTTGCATGACCTAGACCTAGACGACTTTACTGTTTAATATTTCATACCGCCCCCGCCCCTAAAAACCAACAAAAATCCAAGTAGATGAAAATCTGAAGGTACCCAGGTGTGACGTTGTTTGGTACAGGTGTGTCGTGATAGGGTGCAGGTGTTATGTCTCACGTGACTCACGTGTCTCACGTGACGGTGAGTTCACCCACGACATAAACAAATAGATGTAACCCTTACATCTTTCACACCTGACCTGACAAGGTGTAATGATTTACGCGGTGTTATAGCAAACAAACAAGGTGTAATGATTTATTTGCTGTTAGACGATGTAATGGGTTTAGTCACGTTTCTATCAACATTCTATCCAGCTTTTATCAACATACAAGGTATAATGATTGATTCACCTTTTTATTAAAATACAATTTGTAATGACTGATTCACATTTATATCATCACACAAGGTGTTATTATTTATTTACTGTTACAAAAGTGTAAGATGTTATTCACCTTTCTATCAACATGCAAGGTGTAACGATTGGTTCACTTTTATATCAACATACACGGTGTGATGATTTGTTTACTGTTACAAAGTGTAATATGATATTCACCTATCTATCAACATACAATGTGTAATGACTGATTCACTTTAATATCAACAAACACGGTGTGACGATTGATTGACTTTTATATCAACATACACGGTGTAATGATTTATTCACTTTTATATCAACATACACGGTGTGTTGATAAGGAAAACCTCTACAACTACAGACCAATCATGTGGTTCTAGCAACGACGGTTAGATTAAATCCATCCGTCTTCGACTATCTTGTCAGTCTGACAACGCCAGTCTGTCAAATGGTCCCACAACATTATGTCAGTCTAACAAACCATCTTACAAATTGTCAGTCTAACAAACAATCCTACAAAACGTCAGTCTAACAAACGATCTTACAAAATTGTCAGTCTAGCAAACAATCCAACAAGACATCAGTCCAACAAAGGCCCCCACACCCACAAGAAGGCCAAGCTATCGTGATGACCATCTTGGCACGTGTTCAAAAGTTCTAAAATTTCCAGCACCTTGGTGGGGTCTTAAGAGATAAGTCGGGCGGGTTTTCTTTCTCTTTCTTATCTTAGACATCAGCTTTTACTTTACAGTTCAATAAAACACGCATAAAACACGGAGGCTTATATGCCGCTTTATATTTAGATTTATGTTACAAAAGGATTTCAACTATGCCGGTATATATATATATATATATATATATATATATATATATATATATATATATATATATATATATATATATATATATATATATATATCCCATTACATATATACATACATATATATATATATATATATATATATATATATATATATATATATATATTATAAATATTTAGAGAGAGAGAGAGATGGGGGGGGGGGGGCAGGAGTGGAACGAGTGACATTATGAATTGGAACGGCAGGTGACAAAGTTGTAAAAAAATAATCTGTGACATTATAGCCAAAAGGTTGTGGTAAACACGAATTAATTTCACGGTTGGGTGAGTTATATCACGAACTTTGCGCTTTTTAAAGTAAAATCAAAGATGAAAGTTTAGTGGTTTTATTTTTATCGGCGCCTGTCTTTAATTATATGATCTTTACCTGGTTACGTCCCTTGGGAGAAAAAAAATAACAGGAAAAGAAGGGTTTGATTTTATTAAACAAAGCTAATTTAATAGAAGGGATAAAATTCAAAGAAGATCTGTTTAATACGTCACACTTCCGGTTCCGGAATTTAATTGCGTCACAGCCTTAGCATTTTTAATTTGCGGCCGGCGTTAGTGGTCGATTACTGGGAGATAGTGGATGAGATTTAGCAGGTGCTAGGCTAGGTTAAACACGGGCCTGACGGGGGAATGATGAAAGTCGACGGTGCCGGTAAAACAACGGGACAGGTACCTCGTGCCGTGAGTCACGGTGCCGGTTACATGCCGGCTCTTGGAGCAGTCAAAGAGCAGTACAAGGGAGCAGGCGCGCGGAGCAGTACCAGAGGGCAGATGTTAGGAGCAGGCTGTTTATATTACGTAACACTGGTCTGGACTTTGTGTTTGATTTAAACATCGTTTTGTTGAGAATGGAACGTTTGGGAGGGTGGGGGTGGGGAGGGTGGGGATGATGTGTCGTCCAACACACTACTACACGCCGTGTAATCTCGATTACCCAATCATCACAGCCGTGTAATGTACGTTAGCCAATGAACGTGAGGTTAACAAAGATTGTTTAGAGTTGTCTAGCTTGAGGTAAAGAAATAAAATAAACCTTCTGGAAATCGGTTAAAAGAAACGGAAGATATAAATCAAAGTATTCTTTTAATTTGACGGGGGTGGGGGTGGATGTTGTGCAGAGGTCTGGCTTGAATAAATGTTTAGTGCCTGCCTTGTTTTAAAAGTGCTAATGGTATCCTTGTCAAGGTATGATTTCGTGTGTAGGGGGTAGCTCTATGTAGGGCAGGGCACAGGCAAAAGTTGATGGGCTAATATTGAGGGGGGGGGATAGATGGGCTAATATTGGTGGTGGAGGGGATAGATGGCTAATATTGGTTGTGGGGGGGGGGGGAGGGGATAGATGGGCTAATATTGGTTGTGGGGGGGATAGATGGGCTAATATTGGTTGTGGGGGGGGGGGGATAGATGGGCTAATATTGGTGGTGGGGGGATAGATGGGCTAATATTGGTTGTGGGGGGGGGGGATAGATGGGCTAATATTGGTGGTGGGGGGATAGATGGGCTAATATTGGTGGGGGGGGGATAATAAATATATGGGCTAATATTGGTGGTGGTGGGGGGGGGGATAAAAAATATTGGCTAATATTGGTGGTGGTGGGGGGGGGGGGCAAAAATAGATTGGGTCACAGTTTTGGTGGGTGGGGGCTAAAATATATGGGCTAACATTGTTTGGGGAAGGGGAAATAAATGAATGTGCTAACATTGTTGGTGTGTGTGTGGGGGGGGGGGTGGCTAAAAAAGATAGGCTAACATTGCATTGTAGGTGTTTTTTATGTTTGTGTTGGGGTTATAGATGGGTTAACATTGTTGGCGGGGGGGGGGGGTGGGGTTAAAATAGATACGCTAACATTGTTAGAGGGAGGGCTAAAATATATGGGCTATCGTTGTTGGTGAGGGTGGGGCTGGAGGATAGACTGGCTGGCATTGTTGGTGTGGGTGGGGAAGTCAGGAGCAAACAAAAGGTTTGGAGTTTGGTTTAGAGAGTTGATGCCAAAACTCGATGCCACTTCGGCAATCGGTTGATGTACGAGTGGGTGGGGGAGGGTGGATGTAGAGTTCATTGACAGAATGGGGTTGGTGCCCTAGTGACCAAGTTTCTCATACAAAGGGTTGGTGCACCATATACAGGGTTGTTTTAGCTAGCTTTGATGTAAGCGTGCTGTTGTAGCTTGATGTACGCATGTTGTTGAAGCTATATGTAAGCGTGTTGTTGTAGCTAGTTGTAAGCGTGTTATTTTAGCTAGATGTAAGCGTATTGGAGCTATGTGTAAGCGGATTGCTGTAGCAATCAAATTGAGATGGTGTAGTGCATCAGTCTGCACTAGCTCGGGGTTGTTTGAATGCGACCATGTTGCAATAAAAGTATATTTGTACTACACGCGATATTACAATACTATTTTTATATTTTATTGAAATGGAGATTTTAAAAAAAGCGTCCATTCAGACTGCATAACGGTATAAAAATGCGAAATCAACTTATATACGAATGTATTTGGAATAGCTGATTTACGGTATTGTTAGTATTCGAAGATGAAGCACCTATTGTAAAAGGCACGGTTTTGATTTCATTATTTCCAAAAAAATGAAGATTAATACATGAGAAAATATTTGGAGGAAAATGTAAACACATTTTTGGTACGGATATTTATGACGTGTAAAGACGCCATTTTTTTAACGGATGTGGGAAGATGTTGGAGTAAAGTGTAAAAGAAAAGTGTTTTTGGAATCACGATAATTTCCAGATTGACGTGGCATATGGGAGTGATATCCCAGAGGTTTTGACTTTAATGAGGGTAGGCATGGCAACGTTTTGAAGTTAGGAAATAAATTAGACAATTAGCGAAAGCATTCATTCTGGATATACAGGGTCTAAATAAGAAATTTAAATTTGTGTTAATATAATGGAGTTTGTTGCCAACAATTTTAATTTTCTTTTCAGCTCGATTGTACTTTGTACTGTAAGGTTTAACTGTAAGGTTTAACTTTAATTTAAAGTGTGGAATAGACGCGTCTGTTAAACCACTTTAAAGAACACTAAGAAAGGTCGCTAGTATTATCGGATAAAATAAGAACAAACTTGAAACCGGCGTGGTGGAAGAATTATTGTTAGATGCCTTGAGCAAAACACATGTGTGGAAATTGTGTCAATGCGTTTTGTCTAGATTTTTTTTATTGCTATAATATAAATATACATTGTTTTAAACTATTAGAATATAAGATCACTGTAAGCCAAAAATAATTTAGCTAAGGACCACCACATGTTTGTGAGATAGATTCAAATCAAGCGCGCAGCACAGAGAAGTAGTTGACGGCAAGCGGTGAAATAAAAATGGCATGTTTAAACATCGACTCATGAAGGTAAACAAAAGGTGAGCGGCTTACCTGAAGTTGCTGCACGGGTGAATGACCCAGTTCCCCACCCGCTTGTGTCGCATCTTCTCCTTGATCAGGGCGGTTTTGTTCCCGAACAGCTTCATGGCAAGCTTGTTATCGGAAGGCTGAAAGAAATTCATGATTTGTTCTTTCAGATACGATTTCGCACTGGTGTTTTTGGTTAGAGCGTCAATAGACGCCGTGTCTTTCTCCGCCGGCAGTTCTTCTTTCGGAGTCCCATAGAGGCTGGTCTCGTCCCCTAGGAACTGCACCTTGTTCTCGTGGTTCTTGTAGTTGATTTCCGGGCTGAGGTAATCGCTGTACACGGAATCCGAGTCGGAATCGAGAGTGATAGTGATGGAGGGATTCACGTGACCGCTGTGCAGTAGGGTGGGGGGCGGGACGAGGTTACCTGTGCTGACGGGCCCATCACCTGTGTCAGTCAGTAGCTGTCTCTCTCCCCCACCTCCGCCCCCGATGCCTCCTCTGGAAGCCTGCACGTGAAGCCGCTTGAGCTTGAGGCTGGGTACGCGGCGAGCTGGCCGGGTGACGCCGGCCGCTGGATTCGATCCAGCCATACCGGCGAATGAGTTGCCGTGCCCGCTACGCTGAGCATTGCCGTTTGACGCACGGCAGAATTTGACTGAGTCGGACCGTTGTAATCTTGGCGAGGCAAGGGTGGCGGTGATTGTTGCCGCTCCCTCGCTGTGCGCGCTGTGCACGGCCGAGTCGGTGAGCGGGCACGTGTTACTTTGGGCGTCCATGATTGTTTGGTAGCTCGGGGGGTCCATGCTGGGCCTACCCTCCCCACCCCCATCTCTCACTGGGATTGAGAGTAAACCTTCTTTATCTTCAAATCCCGTCCTCTCCTCGCTTTCCCCCTCTTTCATCGTTTCCTCTCCTCTGTCCATTCTCCGTCTTACTCTTTTCTCATCGGCCTCTCGATGTTTGATGAGAGGGGAGGACATAGGGGGAGTTACGAGGGAGGAGGAGTAATCCTCTTCACCGTCGTCTTCGTCATCGGTTGTACTGTCCTCCCGACGACCCCTGGAGTAAGGAGCGTGAGGGGGAGGGTAGAGGTATGGGGTGGTGGAGTATGTCTTAGAATAGGAGGCGGGGCTGAGGGAGTAGGTGGTGTTAGAGGAGGTGTGTGATGTAGGGGTGGGGGCGCTGGTGGTGTGTGTGGGGTTGTATGCTGCAGAGGAGGGAGTGGTGGAGGTGTATGTTGTAGGGGTGGGGGTGCTGGTAGAGTGGGTAGGGGTGTATGTAGTGAGGTTGTTGGAGTTGGTAGAGCTAGTAGGGGTGTATGTTGTGGGACTGAGAAGGCTAGAGTTCACATAATATGGGGGTTGACTGGGGTTTGGGGGTCGTGACGAGTGGGGGTCAACCGCCGACATGTCGCTGACCACTCACGTGCAGGGTCTGTGAACACAAAAGATGAACTTTTAAAGAACTGGTACATTGTTTATACTATCTTCACAAAACATGAACAACTTTTAAAGAAATGGTACACTGTTTATACTATCTTCACAAAACATGAACAACTTTTAAAGAACTGGTACATTGTTTATACTATCTTCACAAAACATGAACAACTTTTAAAGAAATGGTACACTGTTTATACTATCTTCACAAAACATGAACAACTTTTAAAGAAATGGTACACTGTTTATACTATCTTCACAAAACATGAACAACTTTTAAAGAACTGGTACATTGTTTATACTATCTTCACAAAACATGAACAACTTTTAAAGAAATGGTACACTGTTTAGACTATCTTCACAAAACATGAACAACTTTTAAAGAAATGGTACACTGTTTATACTATCTTCACAAAACATGAACAACTTTTAAAGAAATGGTACACTGTTTATACTATCTTCACAAAACATGAACAACTTTTAAAGAAATGGTACACTGTTTATACTATCTTCACAAAACATGAACAACTTTTAAAGAAATGGTACATTGTTTATACTATCTTCACAAAACATGAACAACTTTTAAAGAACTGGTACATTGTTTATACCATCTACACAAAACATGAACAACTTTTAAAGAACTGGTACACTATATATACATATATATATATATATATATATATATATATATATATATATATATATATATATATATATATATATATATATATATAACACTTTTATTTTCAATAAAACAAAATACAACATGTTTGTGAATGTCTTAGTATGTAGAAGCAATCAGGAATTTTACAGCAACAAAATTTACATACTAGTGATAAGGTAATAATTATTTACATAAAGGCAATTACGTGCTGGAGCTAAGTTTGATATGTACAAAAATCAAAAGTGGAACAATTATAAGGGGTTAAATTAAAATAAGTGAACGGTAGTGAAGACCAGTGGAATACGATCAAAAGAAGTTGTTAAGAGGGACCAATCAATGTACAGTGATGTAAGAGATCTATAAATAGGCAAAGATGAACTAGTTTTTTTTTTTTTCAGTAATAATAATTTATTTGATAGATTTTACACAGCATCAAGGACATGAACATCAATTGCATATATAATAATCAAAGGGAGAAAATAACATGGCATAAGAACTAGACTAAAATAAGTTGTGCAAACCAGGTTTCTCTTGACTGCTTAGTTTACTGTGCTCCGTCCTCTGCTGCGGTGTCAAAGTTCACATTGTAGTCACCCATGGACAGAAATAGAAACGAACGTGGGAGAAGTGTCTCTGAGTGTAATACACATATTGATCTATCATTCCAAAACTTTCCATGACATAAAATTGACCCTTGGCGATGAGGGCACGCTACCTTGAAATATCCACCAGTCCGGTTGAGTGGGGGGGGGGGGGGGAGTGTGTGTGATGTTTGGCTTGAGACTGTCTAAATTAAAATTAATACTTTATTTATTTCTTTCCTGTACATTTTTTGTCTCAGTTAAGTGAGAATTCCCAGTCTATGCCTTAGCTTTACTTGAAATATTTCTTTTAACTCGATGTCCGTGTATTTTGTGAAAAAATATCTGCTAAAAGTATCGTCTTGTTTTTGTATTCGGTATTTATATGTTCATTAAGCGTGTGGTAGAAATGTTTTTATTCTTGTCTATGTGTTTGGGCGTTATTTCTGTTTTGTCAATATCCGGCCCTGTTTATCCGTGTATTAACTTTTAATTTTGTGTTTGTCTGATGTACAAAGTATACTGGATCCTCTGCAGTTGAAACCAGTACAGTGCAGTGAGTTTTTAATACTGATATATGCATCTATTCGCTTCTTCTGTAGTTCCAATGTTAGTTTCCTGTAAAAGTAGGATGTCAATAGTGTGTTTATTTATTATGTTGTTTATATATATAATGTGTTTTGTCCCTAGCCCCGCTGATGTTCAATGTTGCCAGAGTTAGCATGAATTATTTGGGGCTTTCTTTCGAACATCTGTTTCTGGAGGGCTGGATGGTGGTGGTCTTTTAACGCCAAACTTTCCAGTCGCTGGTTTGCTATCCCGTTGGGCCGTGGTCACGACCCTTTGAGGTGGCTTTACTGTAGGTAATTGTTTTTTACTTGAACTGATTGCTTGACTATATGACAGTTGACCTGATACCTTTGTTGCTGATATACTTTGTGAGCTTTTAATTTCCTTTAGCGGTTTCGTTATGTTTTCCAAACTGGTTTTATCTTGAAGAGTATCATTTATTGTTTCGCCGACTGCCTCCGAATTTTCTTGATCCCCATCTTTTTGAGACCCTGTTACTATGGAATTTCTGGTCGCTATTGTCTCCATGGCTTCGGCCTCTATGGTGGTTTCTGTTACGCTTTCGTTAACTTGCTGTGATGCTGCAGTAGTATGATGTGTTTCAGTTTGGCCATCTACTTCAAAGGCATCTTCTACCTCTATATGCTTTGCTTCTCTAAGCATTTCATTTTGTCTTTCTCCGTCAACATCATAACTGTCCCAATGCTTTGAGAAATTTCTATTGTTACTTAGATGCTCCCTAACTTCTTTATCATTTGCATCCCAAGGCTCAATTGCCCTGTACTGTCCATCTACTAGCTTGACGCCGTCAAGAGCGCGAGTCCTCAAATGCTCACACATTTTAGGCAGGTGCCTGTCTGTGTTGCAGTGGCAACATTGCACCCTCCTCCCATTGAGGAGTATCATGCTAAATAAAGTTCATTTGAAAAAAAAAATTTAATTAGAAAAAAAAAAGAGGATTACAAGGATGAACTAGTTGTTCTTACAAAAAAATCATAAGTGTATAATAGGCGAGTTTTGTAGCATTTAAGTAGTTATACAATCTTCACATAGTTTGTACATAATTTATAGTCTACACAAGTTTACACAAAACAGTAACAACTTTGAAATAAATAGAACATAATTAAATCAACCTTTAATTCACATTTATTTTCCCCCAATGTAAATAATTTGTTCCTATTACTTGAACATTATATTCCTAATTGTTTGATTAGAACATTTTGTTTACATTTGACATCAACTATGCATTAGAGATTATTGCTTCCCTTTATTTCAGCACATTTTCAGGCTACTTAACGCCCCTCCATTATGGTTTTCTTCTACATTTTTATGGACGCATTAATTAGAGAAAACATTTTGTGTTCTATTTTATACCCGTTTCTTCCCTTTATATTCATCATAACCGTTCCTTCCTTCGATGCATCTAACTGGGCTTTTACAGTTATATAAAAAAAATATTTCCTCGATAAATATTACGTAATATTTCTATAGCGCCCCCCCCCCCTCCCACCCTAACAGCAGTGCAAAAACGGCCAATTTAAAAACGCCCTGACATACATCACTTAAGTCTGTCTGTGCGTCCACCGTCATGAATTTTTGAAAACTATGACATTTGGCCGACCTGAGATCGATATTGCTAGAGTTACGCTCCATGATTCTCCTTAGCTCCGGAGACTTGAATGAGTAAGGGAGATAAAAGCTTCCCAGAGAAACCTTTATCGTGGCGTGGAAAAACGCGAATTCGCGATGGACCTTACCAAGCCTGCATAAGTTATGAAAGAAAAGACTGGAGGAGCCATTCAATGAATGTGTACACACGTCTAAGCTTGCCTGAGGGGAGGTAATTAATTATAAACAGAAAATATTATGTAAGCGTACTTGCAATATTTCTTTGATTGTTTCGTGTTTGTTTCCTGTCTTTAGATCATTCAAAGATATAAAATAAATATATCCTCAAAAAGGGAGGGGGGAGTGCACATTTGCAAGGAAGCTTTAATCCAATGTTTACAAGGGAAGTGACGAAGATGGTGTAAACATTGTTGAAAGCTGTAGTGCTATCAGAATGTAACGTGTGTGACGAAAAATGAAATGTAAACAAAACTAGGGTAAAGAGCAGTGTAAATGAACTAATATTAAGTAAAAAGAATGCTTACTTTTATTGCATTTTTGTTACAGCTAGAAAGTTTGTTTATTATAAAGATTTTTTAAAAAAAGCTAGTTTTATCTTCTACTTTTGAGTATATATGTATTGTAAAGATGTACGAGTACTTAAGATATTTTATCGTTTCGATATTTTCTTTCTAATATATTTTGCCCTTAAATTTAGCAATAAGTCTTTAGTTATCAGTTGCCAACAATTTGCTTTTTCCAGTTACGGAAGAACAGTCCACAAGCCACAGACAGTACTCACAAACTGATAAAGAATCGTCATGAGCCGGCAGACAGTCAAAAACCGGCAAATAGTCGCGAGCCGGCAGGTCGAGAATGTGACCGACAGGTCCATCAGCTTGACCATGACAAGACCGGAAATGGCAGATCAACGCTCAGACTTTGTAGGACATTGACCTACAGGAACCGGAACCAGACCTATAGTTCTCCCAGAACCCTTAGCTACATCTAAAAATAGAATGAACCTGCTTTTAATGAACCTAAGGTGCGTATAATTCCACAAGTCAAGTCAGAAACTTTAATATTGCTATTAAACAAACAAACTGAAAGCAATTTTGTCATTAAATATTAAAAAAAAATAGATTGATAGAAAATAGAAATGAGTGGATTGATAATTCACTAAGATGACACAGCTCAAGAGAGTAGGGGAGGGGGGGATGTCAAGGTTTTGTGACCTTCATCTTCGCTAACTGATGTGATAACATTTACATACTCGACTAAATATCTTTCAGGTAAGATCACAAGTTGTTTCAGGTAAAATGAAAACAAAATCTATCTGGTAACTAACTTAATTTTCGTAAAGTAGTACGGCCTACTATATTTGATTATTGTATATTTTCACATCTTTTATGTTGAAGTTTTTTTGAATTAACATCTTGTATTTTTGAATGATATTTTTCTTGTTGCGAAGAATCGTATTTTATTCTTCATCACGCATGATAAGATGTGCCTTCAGAACTAATTCCCCAACGTCCCCATCACTGATGTCAGGGACAGGCTAGACAAACCTCCAGC